AAGGGACAAGATGACTTGCAGTGGTTTCAAAATAAATCGGAGGGATTCTGCTTCTAGTAATAAAGGAGCAGAGAGCTCCTTTCAGATGAAGTCTCTTGTAGATAACAGCTATAAACTTTGAACAAAAACAAAAACCATGGACATAGAACTTCTCTACAGGGTTTCCAGGGCTGCAATTTTTATAGAAGCAGTTTTCCACACATCTTCCTCGCATGGAGCAGGGGGTAAGCTTGAATTGCTGACCTTCCAGTGAGCAACAGAGCACTAAATCACTGTTCCTTTAAGGCTCCTCTTAAACCCAACCAAACTCAGTGCCCTTGAGTTAATTCTGACTCAAGGCAACCCTGTAGGATAGAGCCGAACTGTCCCATAGGCTTTCCAAGGCATCATCTTTCTCTCCGATGGAGTGGCAGGTGGGTTTGAACTTCTGACCCTGTGGTTAACAGCCCAACACCTAAGCTACAATACCACCAGAAAACCTTGCTAAAGGCACTGAAGAACAAGCTATTAAGAAACCATAGAGAGGCTGGGGCTGGGACTTGGAAGAAGGGAGCAGCACTGAATGAGTTTCCCATTTTCCAAATTCTCTTCTACCTGAGGGACAAGCCCCAGTTAGTGCCACATGGTCAGGCTAAAACTCAGGAAAACAGACACACAGTCTTGCTGGCTAAAGAACCAGAGGGAAAAAGGCCAGAGTGAGCATCAAGAGAGGCCTTAAATTCTGCAGACAAAATCTGTCCCACTCCTGGAATATGCTGGCAATGAAGAATATACACAACCAGGTTAAAGCAAAGAGACCTGACTAGAGATTTTTGCTGCTGCTGGTAGCATAGTGGTTACGTGTTGGGCTGCTAACTGAAAGGTCAGCAGTTGGAATCTACCAGCCACTCCATGGGAGAAAGATAAGGCTCTCTGCTCCCATAAAAGATTTACAGCATCATAAACTATACAGGGTCGTTGTGAGTCAGAACCAACTCAACAGCACACCATCACTACCCACCCACCACAGGGAAGACTGAGCTGGGAGCTTGAATTTGAGCCAAGTCGATTTCCTCGCAAGACAACAACAATATTAATTATGTTCAGAAATTATGAGCATATTCGAATCCAGACTATAAAATAGCTCTCTATATACAGTAGACAAGGCGCTCTGGTAGTAGTTACAAATTGGACTGCGAACCACAAGGTCAGCAGTTCGATACTACCAGCTGTTTCATGAGACAAAGATGAGGCTTTCTGCTCCTGTAAAGATTTACAGCCTCGGAAACCTTGTACAGGGTCACTATGAGTCGGGCCCAACTCCACAGCACATAACAACAACAACATATACAGTAGACACAATGTAGATATAATCTCAAATTATAAAAAAAATTATTAAAAAAAACACACCCACAAAAATCCAACACATTAAAATGTGACCTTAATAAACAGTGATGCATGCTTAATCTCAGAACAACAGGGTTCCGGGATACAGGGACTGAGGCATAGTTTGAATGGGTAAAAGAGGGGAAATAATGTTAAGATGCTTGGCTGTCTTATGAGGCTCCTGGTTTCCCTTGCCTACTATTGTAAAACACACACTTGGGGAGAGAAAAGAATAGCCAGAAACACCACTATAGAAAGCTTGTACATCTGTCTTCAGCTTATAACTAGTCGGAATACCTAAAATGGGGCTAGAACTTGCCCAGTGAAAGAGGCTTCCTGTGGAATCTTTGCATTGCATAAGACCTCAGGTGGAATCCTGATCCTCATTCAGAATCATCTGAGGTGGGAAATTTCCACTTGAAAAGACAAGCAGACCAGCCAAGAGCAGATAAGAGGAACAGAAGATACTTTTTGAAAGAAAAATCAGCAGGAAAAAAAAACAAAAACAAAACAATAATGGCAGCCTGATTGATTACTATAAGAACAAGCAAGTTGTTCACTGGGGAACCATCAAGGCATGCAATCAAGTTCCCTCAGGGCAAACCCCCTTCCAAGGCTAAAACTCAAAAGGAATACACAAGCTGGCATATAATCTTTCTGGTGACCATGCTGGCCTACTGATAAAGGGAAGTGGGGGCAAAACAGCAATGAAGCTCGGGGCTAAGTCTGACTACATTCAATAGACTCCTGTCAACCTGGATTGAGACCTGGTTGGCCAGCAGTATAGCGAGACCTGGGGACTCCTGAGCCAAGGGACAGGGACATGGCCACAGAGGACTAGAGCAGAGAGTGAAGCATCCAGTTGATATGAAGTGAGGGGAGATGTATAAGAACGCCCATACTTCTAGATATTACTCACTGGACCTAGCTTCAAAGGCTGGATGATCAGAACTCGACTAGAGGAAGAAAGAGGAAAAAAGTATAATCTGCTACAATTTGATGAACTTGACCTATACATATGGATGTAGTAGCTTAAAAGAGGGAATGAATCTTTACAGCAAGGATCATTCCCACCCACTCTGTATACAGGGTTAGGCTCAGCTATGTAAAGGAAGTGGGAGAAAGATGAGGCTTTTTGCTCTAGCAAAGATTTAAAGTCTTAGAAATCCTATCCAGGGTCACTTTGAGTCAGAACCAGCTTGAGGGCACTTAACAACAATAACAACACGTAAAGGAAAATATACTTGTAATAAATAAACCAAGCCTAGGAAAAAAATGAAAATGGAAATTTTGGAGCTAGAAAGAAAAAAGTTCTATATTGGAAATGAAAAAGAAAAATGCATTTGTGTAGTAAAGAGTTAACCTTGCCCAAAGAGAGGTATAGCCTTTGTCCTCAGCTCCTGGGAAATCATCTATCTCTAAGCCCTCGGGACGTCCTGGTAAGCTAAGAGTGTCTGTTTATATGGGAGCCATAGGCCATGCCAGCTTTTCTCTTCTAACAGTGGGATTTATTGTGGAGGCTGTGGACCACATGGTATCAGCTGAGCTTCTGGAGCAACTGGAAACTAAGGTCAACCACATGAACTGTCAACCATGTTCACATGCGCGATTCCCAATAAACTTTGGAAGCTAAGGCTGGGTGAGCATTCCTGGTTGGCAGTGCTCTGTGCAGATTGGCACCAGCATTTCTGAGAGGAAGAGTTAATGCTTTGCATGACTCCAATGGGAAGACAAGTGGAAACTTCACACTTGGAGCACTCTTGGACTCTGCCCTCTGTGTTCCTTCCTTGGCTGTGAGTATACAAACTGTCAGTTATGTGCATCCTTCTAGCAAATGATCAAACCTGAGGGTGGTCTTGGGGACTCGTGAATTTGGAATTGGTGTCAAAAGTGAGGTGGTATTGGGGAACTCTCATCACTAGCAGAGTTTAGCAGCAGATTGCAGATAGCAGAGGAGTTAGTGAACTTGAAGACACACTAAATTTGAGGAATACAGAGAAAAGGTACATCAATAAACAAAGCCTCGGTAATAGATGAGACAATATCAAACGGCATCCTTTAGATGTGCCAAGCTCTTATTTTTAGAACCTTCTTTCACACTTTCATATTCCATCAATGACATTCTATTCTTGACAAAATCTCACCTAGTCTTCAGTTCCACCTGGATCTAACCTCCTCCAGGAAGCTTTCCAGGCTATTCACAGACCTCAGGGTCTCCCTTCTAGGATTCCCATCATTAACATTCCTACAGGTACTGGTGTGGTGCTGCAGGATAAGCGGTGGACTGCGAACTACAAGGCTGGCATGTTCAAACCCACCAGCAGCTCCTCGGAAACCCTACACAGGCTTGCTATGAGTCGGAACCAACTCATGGGCAGGTCACTGTTGTCTTACAGATTGGTCTGATTTTCTCAACAAAAGCATAAGCTCTTGGAGGGGCAATAATTTTTTTGTAAGTTTCCATATCTCTTTAAGTAACCATCTGAGCTTCAAGAATATAGTAAAGATTCAATTAACACTAGTATGACCACGAATGAATACATGATGCTAAGAGCTTATTCCTATGGTTCCTATCTCTCTAAACTCTCATTCTTATCATACCGATCTTCAGAGCATCTTTAGGGATATGCAAGGCTTTCTCTAACAACTGTACTCAAAAAAACATATGGATAAGATGAGCACCAAGGAGAGAGGGGAGGGAGGGGCAGTGCTAAAATATAAATGAGATGTATGTGTTTTGGCTTGGTAGGTCACATGGGAGAAGGAAACTGAGTTGTATGTTCTGCTAAGTATACAGGTGTACCTGATAAGTATACAGGAATACCAACAAGGCCACCTATTCCTTGTCCTCTCCCTATGCTAAAATCCAATCTGGGACTCTGGGGCACAAGGATGAGTTCAGATCATACTTCCAAACACACCTGCACTTTCCATGCATTATGATTAGCCACATAACAGGCTCTTCTAAAGGCAGCTCAAGTTACCAATTACTTATTGTCTCTTGTCATTACACTGAAACTCTCTCCCAAATTACTAAATTTCTTACTTGTCATGGAATACTATATACCACAAAACTGTGGATGCAATTTGATGTTATTTAAGCAGATCTTTCACAAAGATAATTTTGCATTTATATACTAAACCGATCAATATAATTTGTGATGTCACAGTTTTGAGAAACACACATACACACATATTTCCTGTGGGGTTAAATTTATCAAGTAAAGAAATCCCTTTCAATCAAAACCCTTTAAAATTCCCTTCCACTGATGGTTCTGAGGAGCTTCCCTTTCATTGTAAGCAACCATAGCTTTCTAGCCTCATTTCATTCCCCTGCTCTCTAATTAGATAAACCCGGTGGCCTTTCTCTCTGGACAGATTAAAAGGTTGGGTTGCTTTGTTTTTTCAGGCTTTCAGAGTTCTAATCCCTCAGAGGACTCTGATGACAGGAAGAATAGTGTGAGTTAGAGCAGGCAGGCTCCAAGGAAATGTTTCTGAAGGAAACATACAACATACACAGTGGGGAAAGGCTAGTGAATACAAACACACAGATGCCTGCAAAAGGCAGAGGGTGATCCCAGCTGTTTCTAGTCCACAGCACTGGCCCTGGACCTAGCTGGCAACCCTGTTCTTACCCAGGTTGGAGGATGCTCGCCCCTCTGCAGCCCGGTCCTTGAGAGTCTCAGCAATGCCCAGCTGCTGCTCGTGGTACTGCTTGGCTCTCTCCAAATCCTGCATGCACCTGGCAGCGTGGCCCAGGCCAGCATAGGCCCGCATCTCAATGGCCTTCTCCATCAACTCCTGGGCCAGCTCCAGCACGTAGTTGTGGTAAGACATGGCCTTGTCAAAGTTCCGCCGGTAGTGGTAGGCACTGCCCAGGTTGCTGTAGGCCCGGGCCTCTTCTCGCTTGTTGCCCAGGTCCTTGGCGATCTTCAGGTGCTGCTCGTGGCACTGCACGGCATTCTCAAAGTCACCCATGGCGATGTACACGGCGCCCATATTGCCGAGCTCCCGGGCTTCTGAAAGTTCATCTTTGGATTGCTTGGCGAGGAGCACACACTGCTTGTGACTGGCCAGGGCATTCGGGTAGTCTCCAATGGCCGTGTACACGTGACCCAGACTGCTCAGGGCTGACGAAGCTGCCTGTGGGGAAAGGATTAGGCAGAGAAATAGAAGCACATCAGAGAAGGGCTTTGGGTTTGTTTCAACAGATAACAATGTTATGGGTGTCTGCCTGGAACTACGCAATCTGATTCCTAAGGGTGTTTCTATCAGTGGCACACAGACTTCTACAGAATGGATAAAGAGCACATCCAAATAGCAAGTGCCTCACAAAGACAATGGTATACTCATCAGCAGCTTGCACTGCCTCATCTCAGCAAAACATGATGTATTCTATATAAGCAACATCTTAGTGTAAAGATGCTTTCCCATTTCTGAAATGAATTAAGGTACCCTATCTCTGTGGACACCTATTAACCTCTGTAATATAAAAACATGCTGAGGAAAAAATCGAAACAAATGACTACTTTCAAAAGCACATAGAAATTCAAAAGAGAGAACAGGGGTTGGCTTTGGCCTTCTTGGGCATTAGCTCTATACTTGTTTTCTCCCAAAGCAAATGGACATACTGATGATTGTGGAGAGACGTACACTGCTGACTGATACTTTTGTGACCCCAATGTGGCTTCATCAGTGCTGGCTACTGAATAGGATTAGTCCCCAAGGAGAAGAACAGATGAGTTGCACACTAGACTTTTGAATGGGGTGTGATCTCCATTAAAACCCACCGTTCCTTCTTGGGCTTACACTGGTGCTTCAAACTGAACTTTCTTGTCAAGATCTTCTGATCCTAGCTTTTCTTGATGCTGTCCTTTCTAGACCCTTCCCACTGCTTGCTACTCATCCATTCTTAGCTCAAAGAAGAGAATCTACCCACAGCCATCAAGCTGATTTTGATTCATAGAGATCCTATATAAGATTTCAAAGATAGTTACTCTTTATGGGAGCAGATAGCTTCTTCTTTCTCCCTCAGAGCAGCTGGTGGGTTTGAACCACTGACCCTGCCCAATGCCTAATCCACAGTGCCACCCAAACCAAACCCACTGCCAATGAGTCAAGTTCCAATTCACAGCATCCCTATATAGTGTTTCTGAGACTGTAAATCTTTATGGGAATAGACAGCCTCATCTTGTCTCATGCAGCAGCTGATGGGTTTGAACTGCTGTCCTTGCAGTTAGCAGTCCGCTGCTTATCCTGCACCACCACCAGTGCTCCTTAAAGAAGAGTACAGGGACCCTTTGTGACCTAAAGGTCTTAATCAAAAAAGTTCTATATAAGTGTAGTGAGCCAAGTAAGAATAATAAACATAACAAAGATGCCAACACAGGTTCTAGAATCTCACCCAGTACACAGCCCTAGAGTCTAGTCTTCAGTTTCTAACTTTTCTGCAGAGATGTAAAAGGGGAATTATGCTGTACCCTTTCTGCTCTTCTGATTCTAAAGGTTGGAGGCTTGCCGGCCTCTCATCATATTGTTTCTTCAGTGACAACCACATAGCCTGTTGTTCATGTTCTCTCTCTTCCTAAGGTGAACATGGGGCCCTGGCAGAACAAAGGGTGTGTGGGCTGTCACAAGCAGGTAAGTGATCTTCCCAAGGGCCCCGGGCTACAGTGTAAAGAGTACGGCCTTTCTTTATGAGATGCAGTCTACGTCTGTGCGCTTCAGAACACTTTTATAAATATTTTATAGATGTGAGTGATTTGCTACCTTATTTCTTCGCCTGTGAAACAGCAGTCCTTGATCAAAATAAGTGAAGAATGACCATCTTTATGGTGCTTGCAAATAGCGTATTTTTAAGTTGCCTTTTTTCTTTTCTTTTTCATTTCACAGATGTTCCAACACAAGATTTAAATAGAGAAGAAATAAATGCCTAGAAATGTACTCTGTTGTTGTTGATTTTTTCTGAGTGGTGGAGAGCAGAATCCATTCCCAGGGAAGTCACAAGGCTGGAGTGGTGTGACTGTGGCAGGCGCAGTGGTGATGCCATCTGAGAGCATGCCTCATGGATGGGTACAGGCCCCAGGTTCCCTCCTGGCAGCCTCTCTGGGACTATCGGGTAGGACACTGGACATGGGCCATTTTCCTGTCCCCTCATTTGCTTCCTGCCCTGCCCTCTGAACCCCTGTTGACAATCCTTTACTCTTTGGCTGCAGCCCCTGGGAATCACCTCTTTCTTCTGCTTCAGTGCATGGCCCTTCCCACCTCACCTTTTGGGGATCTTGTTCCCTGCAAGCTGGGCTGGGATGCAGTCCACAGACCTTTGTTGCCTTCAAAGTAGAACATGTTGTTGTTAAGGGCTGACGAGTCAGTTCCGACCCACAGCGGCCCTGTATAGGGTTTCCAAGGAGCAGCTGGTGAGCTTGAATGCTCATGGACAAGCAAAATGGAAAACTAAAGGAATTTGCTGATGAACTTTTTGAAACCCCCTTGTACAGGCTCTTCCCCAAGGGCACAAGTATAGCTAAGGGGTAGACATACCATCAGAACCATACAGCCCTTGACTAGCTCTCTCTCTGAGCCTCAGTTTCCACTCAGATGTTTCTGTCTCCAGCAGCAAGCCAGAAACGGAGTGTTTTCTAACCCAGTCATGAGCCTCTAGCAAATGTGCAAACCATCAATAATTCATTTGTTGTTGTGATGTGCCGTGGAGTCGGTTCCGACTCATAGCGACCCTGTACAGGGTTTCCGAGGCTGTAAATCTTTACGGGAGCAGAAAGCCTCATCTTTCTCCCGCAGAATGGCTGGTAGTTTCAAACTGCTGACCTTGCAGTTTGCAGCCAGATTCATAACCACTACACTACCAGAGCTCCTTAATAATTCACTAGATGGTTCCAAATAGATCTGGTGTAGGCAATGAGCCCTTGGGTACTGCAGGGGTTGGGTTTATAAGTCTCAACTCACACAGTGCCCCAGGAAGCACTGTTCTAGGGGCTCTGGCTTATAGGTAACTCCAAATGACAGTCCTGGGAGTTTCTGCCTCTGGTTGTTCACTTCTTGGAAAGCCAAGGAGACAGAGGCACTCAGTTTCTGAAGCACACTAAACAGAAGGAAAGGGAAAATTTGAACATTTCCCTGGTGGCTGCAGGGGAGAGAAGAAGACTGATTGTACTAGCTCATCCCTGGCTTCCTTCTGTTACCAGGCAGTATTGTCAGCTGGATCTGCTTGTGGCGGGCATCCTGGAAACCAGCATCTCTAGAAACAATGATGTGATTTATGATGCTCCTGCCATAGCCTCTGAAATTCAAGAGGCAGCTTGATGCAGTCTAAGAGTGGAACAGGATTTACTGATTGTGGAATGGCATTTCACTTTGTCACCCTCCTCTTTCTCTGTTTGCACAACATTGCTGATGAGAATACTATCCAGACTTCACAGAGCTGGGCTGGGGTCAGATGAAACAGTGTCTGTGAGGGCCCTTTGTAAACTGTAAAGCACTCTCGGAATGCATGGCTAAATTGTGGATGGATGGTTTATGAGTGCAAGCTGGCCTTGCTGAGCTCTGTTACACCAAGCGGAAGATGGTAACTCAAAACATCAGTCTTAAGACCAAACATCTATATTCCTTACAGTTGCCACAGGAAATACAGTCCGGTGTTTTACAGCCTGTGGGCAAATAACATGTGATAGTATTTATCAGCTAAGTGAATTACAAATTATTCACTTGTCTTTGTCCCTGTTCTTGTAGAATAAGCTGAGATCTGAAACATGGTTTCAGGCTGTTAATGAGAATCTGAAGATTCTATCTACGGGGAATCGCAGGCCCCACCTCAAGCAGATGCTGTACTTGCCAGCGAAGTTCACACTGCTTTTGTGTATTAATCTCTCAGAGAGTTTTGTGCTAGAATAGCAGCAGCTGCTGCCCACAATGGAAGCATTCTGGAACATCTGTATTTGAATACTAAAATGCAAACAGTTACGAGAACAAACTATCTGGCTGGAGCAAGACAATGTGCTTCTCTTTCTGCTACATATAAATGGCTTGTGTATTTGCTAAAGCATAGTTTCCAGTAGGTTACCCCTGGTTCTGTTTCCTGAATATTTGCAGAACTGCTTTTGACAGGTCAGTTTCATGGGACATGGAGCTAGAGTAGGAAATATACTCATCTTTCCTGAAATCACCTTTCAGAGTTTTTAGTTTGAGAAATGAGAGAGACATTTAAAACGCTCAAACTATATTAAATTGATGAGCTTTAGGCTGAAGATGCTCTTAGTACCGGTAGCTAGTCCCAGAAAATCTGCTTTTCTTCTTTACTGCCCCAGTTCCACAAGTATCCCCTGATAGTTCAGGGCCCATGAATCCATGATCTGGTTCAACCACTCATAACCTGGGAGGTAAGAGGAGTGGAGGAAAATGTGGATGTGCTCTGGAACCAGGCATGCATGGGCTCAAACAATAACTCGTCATCTTGTACAAAGTATGTAATGTCTTAAGGCCTCAGTTTCCTTGTTTGTAAAATGGAAATTATAATACCTGATAGTGCCTTAATGGGTACAGACAGTCCCCAAGTTACAAACATTGGACTTAGGTACCCACCCCTGTAAAGACTTCCATCTCCCTCCTGGGCCCCTGGGTCAATGCTAGGAGGAAATGACGTGTTGCTGCCTGGTTCATCATGGCTCAAGATACTCGATGGTCCACAGAGTTCTGAATTCCCTTGCCCAGCTGCATAGTCCCCTGACCCCACCACACCACACTGACCTGCAATGATCAGGTGATTCCTACTCTACTTCCGCCTATCTCAGTGACATCTATCAAAACATTGTTATTCTAATAATTATTACTGCAGTGTGATGTTAAAGATGTTTTAATATAGCTACAAGTATTTCTTTAATTTTTTTAAGCATACAAAGGTACATTAGATAGCATATACTAAGACAAACATTTGAGTAACTGATGTTAGATACGAACTGCATCTAACTGTTTTGACTTCTATACAAATTCAACTTTAAGACAGATTTAGGCTTCAAGGCCAAGTGGGATTCATACCAGGTATACAACATTAGAAAAACAATCAATATAAACCACTATGTTAAAGTAAATAAATAAAGGAAATAAATCACATGATCATGTCAGCTGATGCT